TAACTCTGTTGTTATACAGGACCGTGACACGGGACGGATGATTGGCACATGACGTGAGTCACAGGGTCTCTATCATCTCCATATCCCATCTACAGCATGCATTGTCTTCGAGTCTCCGGATCTCCTTCATAATCGTTTGGGCCATCCTAGTCTTTCCAAACTTCAGAAAATGATCCCAGATCTATCTAAATTATCGTCCTTGAGTTGTGAGTCGTGTCAGCTTGGAAAGCATCTTCGTGGTTCTTTTCCAAAGCGTGTCAATAAACGGGCTGCATCCCTCTTGGAGTTAGTGCATTCAGATGTGTGGGGTCCTTGTCNATTGCCAAAGTGAGGAAGGGTTTCTAAAGCTTCTGCGAATGAAATTGCCTGACATAGATTGGTCCAACAAAAGTATGAATCTCAAAGAATGTAAAGCAGCATGCACCAATAACTGTTCATGCAGAGCTTATGCGAATTCCGAACTAACTGGAGGAGGTATTGGCTGTTTGATGTGGTTCAAGGACTTGACAGATATGAGAGAGTGCTCAAAACAATACAGCTGGGGACAGGATATTTTTATTCGAGTTCCAGCATCTGAACTAGGTATGTGTGTTCTTGGATGTATTGCTGTGACATTCATTTTGAGGATATTTGATATTTCATCCACAACGCCTCTACTAGCACAGTGAAATCAATACCAACTGATACATGTATTATCAATAATTTGTGTTGAAAAAGCTTAGGATGAGGCCACTAAAAACAGCCACTTATGTTGCGATTCACATATTTGAGAAGCATGAAATAGATGCCTTTCTTTTAACCAGAGAAAAAGTAGTTTTCAACAAATTTATTTTCTTTATGTCGCTGTTCTTGATTCAGGTTTAGATGAGAAGAAAAGACAGGAAACCATCCTAGTACTTTCGATTTTTTCTGGCATGTTCATCCTGGTCCTGATTATCATGGTAACTTTGAAGAAAACAAAGAAAAAAGGTAATAGCAATCATCCGGTCTTACTGACTGATTGTCTACTGTAATAACTCTTTATGCAGACATGGAACACATATATCAGTGTACTATAAAATTGACTCTGTTTCTTTCCCATTTAACAGCCAAGGAAAACAGTAAAGTAAATAGTGAAGTACCTCTGTTTGAGCTGTCTATCATTGTGACAGCTACTAACAATTTCTCTGAGGAAAACTTAATTGGAGCTGGCGGCTTTGGCCCTGTTTACAAGGTAACACTGTTTATATCTTTTCTTGCAGTCAGCAGAAAGGTTTCTTTCCTTTCAGGCTCTTATTAACAAAAACTAAAGGTACTTAAAATGGAAAAAGTAAGCATATTCTACTATGATATGCAGGGCAATCTTCCCACTGGAGAGGAAGTGGCAGTGAAAAGGTTGTCAGAGAATTCTGTGCAGGGAACTGAACAGTTTAGGAATGAAGCCATTTTAATTGCCAAACTTCAACACAAGAATCTTGTAGCACTTTTGGGAAGCTGTATTCAAGGAGAAGAAAGGCTGTTGATATATGAGTACATGCCCAATAAAAGCTTGGATTATTTTATCTANCTTGGAGTTAGTGCATTCAGATGTGTGGGGTCCTTGTCGTGTTAACTCTAATTTGGGATTTAAATATTTTGTTACCTTTATTGATGACTATTCTCGTTGCACTTGGTTATTTCTTATGCGATCTCATTCTGAATTATTTTCCATATTTTCATCATTTTGTGCTGAAATTAAGACTCAACATAATACTACCATTCGTATATTAAGGAGTGATAATGCTCGTGAATATTTCTCTGATTCCTTTACTAAATTCATGTCATCTCAGGGAATTCTTCATCAATCTTCTTGTGCTTATAGTCTCCAACAGAATGGCATTACTGAGCATAAAAATAGACACCTCATTGAAACTACTCGCACTCTTTTTTTACATAGCCACGTCCTTTTTCGTTTTTGGGCTGACACTATTCTAATCGCTTGTTACTTAATAAATCGCATGCCTTCTTCTGTCTTGCAAGGCCAGGTCCCACACTCCATATTATTCCCTGATCATCCATTATTTTCTCTTCCCCCACGTGTCTTTGGAAGCACTTATTTTGTTCACATTTTCTCTACTGGTCAGGATAAACTGTCAGCCAAGTCTACGAAATGTATTTTCTTAGAGTATTCACGTCTTCAGAAGGGCTACAAGTGTTATTCTCCTGCCACACGTCCCTACTTCATCTCTGTTGATGTTACATTCTTTGAGTCTTCTCCATTTTTTCCTCATCCTACATTAGAGTCTGATCCGATAGTAGATGTTCTACCAATTTCATACATTGCTTTCCCATCTTCGTCTGTTTCGGTACCTCAGTCTACTACTAATACAACTCTTCTTGTCGACAATAGTCTTGTTCCTTTTACAGGTGATCCTAATGTTCCTGCTGCGGTTCTTGAGATCTCTGTCACTGCAGGTCCTATGCTCTATTCCTCCAATGCCACGGTCTTGTCTCCAGCTGATCAATTTCCCATTGCTATTCATAAAGGTATGCGGTCTACACGCAACCCTCATCCCATCTACAATTTTTTGAGTTATCATCGTTTATATCCTTCATATTATGCCTTTGTATCCACCCTTTCTTCTGTTTCTATTCCTTGCACTGTTCATGAGGCACTTTCTCACCCCAGGTGGCATCAGGCAATGGTTGACGAAATGTCGGCTTTGCATCATAATCATACTTGGGAGTTAGTTTCTTTACCTCCGGGCCATTCGACTGTTGGTTGTCAGTGGATTTATACTGTCAAGGTTGGTCTAGATGGTAAGGTTGATCGGCTGAAAGCTCATTTGGTGGCCAAGGGATACACTCAGATCTATGGGACATATTATTTTGACACTTTTTCTTCTGTTGCTAAGATGTCTTCCGTCGTCCGGTTGTTCTTTGCTATGGCTGTCATTCGACACTGGCCTATGCATCAATTGGTTATTAAGAATGTTTTTCTTCATGGTGAACTTCAGGAAGATATTTATATGGAGCAACCTCCTGGTTTTATTGCTCAGGGGGAGTTTGGTTTGGTATGTAAACTTCGTCGCTCTCTATATGGCCTAAAACAGTCTCTTCGTGCTTGGTTTGGACAATTTAGTACAGTTATCCAAGAGTTTGGTATGATTCGATGTGAGTCTGATCACTCTATTTTCTATAGACATACATCACCAGGGCAATGTATCTATCTGGTTGTCTATGTCGATGATATTGTTATTACAGGGAGTGATCAAGATGGCATTGAACAGTTGAAGCAACACTTGTTCAAACACTTTCAGACAAAAGACTTAGGGCTCCTCAAATACTTTCTTGGCATAGAAGTCGCTCAGTCCAAATCTGGTATTGTTATATCTCAGAGGAAGTATGCACTAGATATTCTAGAGGAAGCAAGGGTGTCAGATTGTAGACCAATAGACTCTCCTATGGATCCTAATTTAAAACTTTCACCTGGACAGGGGGAGCCTCTTGCTGATCCTGGAAGGTATCAAAGATTTGTTGGAAAACTTAACTATCTTACTATCACCTGACCTGATATTTCCTTTTCTGTCAGTGTTGTAAGTTAGTTCCTTCAAACTCCATGTGATAGTCATTGGGATGCAGTTGTCCAGATTTTAAGGTATATCAAGGGAGCACCAGGTAGAGGCTTGCTGTATGAAAATAAGGGTCATTCACATATTGTCGAATATTTAGATGCTGATTGGGCAGGTTCTCCATCTGATAGACGTTCTACCTCAAGTTTTTGTGTCCTTGTTGGAGGAAACCTAGTTTCTTAGAAAAGTAATAAACAAGCGGTTGTTGCAAGGTCAAGTGCTGAAGCAGAGTATCATGCAATGGCCTTAGCCACCTGTGAGCTTGTTTGGTTAAAACAACTAATTCAAGAGTTGAGATTTGTCGAAGTATCACAAATGAAGTTACTCTGTGATAATCAGGATGCCCTTTATATTGCGTCAAATCCAATGTTTCATGAGAGGACTAAACACATAGAAATAGATTGTCACTTTGTTTGAGAGAAAGTTCTATCAGGGGGTATTGCAACTAGTTATGTCAGTTCCAACGACTAGTTAACAGACATCCTCACTAAGTCTCTCAAGGGTTCTCGTGTTGATTTTATTTGTAACAAGCTTGGTGCATATGACTTATATGCTCCAACTTGAGGGGGAGCGTTGAAGTGTAAAATAGGAAATATGATTATTCTCATTAAGACTATCTTTTATATTAGGTTAAAATCAAAGCTATTAAGAATTAGATCAGTTATAATAGGAATGTAACAATTTACTTCCTAGATTAGTCTTTTGTTTTTGCTATAAATTCATTGTACATTTCATTGTGAATATACAAGTAAATACAAAGTTTTTCTTCACTTTATTAATCAAATTCTCTGGAAATACTGAGATCTTGTCACTTTCATGAGAAATTTATAAAATACATAATGACCATTCACCATGTTTTGTGCTATGAACCCAAAGCAGAGTTGGGAATGACTATGGGGTTCGTTGACCAACAGATGGAAATGGTTTGTTTGTGTATCCAGATTATAATAGAGGGTATTGACATTTTGACACCAAAGAAAGTCAATGGACCAATCAAAAACCTGTAAAACTTGCCAGAAGATTGGCCTGGTAGATTATTTCATAGTTAATTTGTTTAAAAAATGATCCAATTTCTACTATAAGGAAATGACATTCACCTTTTCCTGTAATTATTTAATTTTGATTAAAGCCTACCTAATCGAAGTCTGAACCAAAAATGAATCACTCCACGAGGTCAACTGTGTGAAACCTTCATTTTTGTTGACTCTGAATACTTTAGATGCAACTATGCAGGAATCAGGATACCTATAAAGTGTTTTTTTATGAGAAGAGAGAAGGAAAATCCTTAAGAGATTAAGAAGCCAAAGAAACACTTAAAAAATCAGTGATTGCACTACTTGACATGTAGAACTATTTATAATCAAAAGTAAAGTATAATAGATATCAAAATCAAACTCAACTAGCCTCTAAGAAAAGGTCAACCATGGGGAGGTTTATACAATTGCTTGAAAGAACTTAGATCAATATGCATACAATCTGCAATTTTATATCTTGAAAATGAAATTGGAGTGCTTTTCATTCTTCACCTTCTTTTGCTCTTTGATGTTTTTATCAGTCATGGAATTGTCATTGGCAGCTGATATCATAAATCCAGGACAATCAATCAGCGATGGAGAGACATTAATTTCTTCATTTCAAAGCTTTGAGTTAGGCTTCTTTTCTCCAGGTGACTCCAACAAAAGGTACCTAGGGATATGGTACAAGATTAGTCCTAGCACAGTTGTGTGGGTTGCCAACAGAAACAATCCACTTGATGATAAGTATGGAAATTTAACTGTGAGCAATAAAGGAAACCTTGTACTTCTCAACCGAGATAAGAGCATTATCTGGTCTTCAAATTCATCAAGGGTGCCAGAACATCCAGTGGTACAACTCCTAGATTCTGGAAACGTTGTTCTTAGGGAAAGTACTGACACGAGTTCCAGCAGTTATATGTGGCAAAGCTTTGATTACCCATCAGACACATTGTTACCAGGAGTGAAGTTGGGACGGAACTTAAAAACGGGTTTTGAGCGTCATCTCACATCATGGACAAGTGCTAATGATCCATCTTCAGGGGACTTTAGTTTCAGACTTGACATTTCTGGGTTACCTCAACTGGCTATTATGATGGGGACAAGAATAGAGACCCGCAGTGGACCATGGAATGGTTTCAAGTTTGGTGGCATTCCCACGAAGGGGAACTCAATCTTCATTCCAAGGTTTGTGCAAAACGAAGAGGAGTTGTATTTCACATATGAGACTTTCAACAATACGGTTATCACACGATTACTAATGAATCAATCAGGTAAAGTACAGCGTCTTGTACGGAATGCAGAAGGTTCTGAATGGAGTGTCATGTACTCTTGGCCATTTGATGTATGTGACAATTATGCAGAGTGTGGTGCTAATGGCAACTGCAGAATTAGTAAGACACCTATTTGTGAGTGTTTGAAGGGGTTTGTACCGAAACCACAAGATGAATGGGAGTCAACTCAGACAAGACAATGTGTAAAGAAATTGCCATCAGATTGCCAAAGTGGGGAAGGGTTTCTAAAGCTTCCGCGAATGAAATTGCCTGACATAGATTGGTCCAACAAAAGTATGAATCTCAAAGAATGTAAAGCAGCATGCACCAAGAACTGTTCATGCAGAGCTTATGCGAATTCCGAACTAACTGGAGGAGGTATTGGCTGTTTGATGTGGTTCAAGGACTTGACAGATATCAGAGAGTGCTCAAAACAGTTCGACTGGGGACAGGATATTTTTATTCGAGTTCCAGCATCTGAACTAGGTATGTCTATTCTTGGATGTATTGCTGTGACATTCATTTTAAGGCTATTTGGTATTTCATCCACAACACCTCCACTAGCACAGTGAAATTAATACCAACTGATACATGTATTATCAATAATTTGTGTTGGAAAAGCATTTAGGATTAGTCTACCAGAAAAAGCCGTTTATGTTGGGATTCACATATTTGGGAAGCATGAAATAGATGCCCTATTGATTAACCAGAGATAAAGTAGTTTTTTTAACAAATTTATTTTTTTATGTCACTGTTCTTGATTCAGATTTAGATGAGAAGAAAAGACAGGAAACCATAATAGTACTCTCGATTTTTTCTGGCCTGTTCATCCTGGTCCTGATTATCATCATAACTTTGAAGAAAGCAAAGAAAAAAGGTAATAGCAATCATCCGGTCTTACTGACTGATTGTCTACTATAGTAACTCTTTATCCAGACATGGAACACATATATCAGTGTACTATAAAATTGACTCTGTTTCTTTCCCATTTAGCAGACGAGGAAAGCAGTAAAGTAGATAGTGAAGTACCTCTAATAGAGCTGTCTATCATTGTGACAGCTACTAACAATTTCTCTGAGGAAAACTTAATTGGAGCTGGTGGCTTTGGCCCTGTTTACAAGGTAACACTGTTTATAATTTTTCTTGCAGTCAGCAGAAAGCTTTCTGTCCTTTCAGGCTCTTATTATCAAAAACTAAAGGTACTTAAAATGGAAAATGTAAGCATATTCTACAATGATATGCAGGGCAATCTTCCCACTGGAGAGGAAGTGGCAGTGAAAAGGTTGTCAGAGAATTCTGTGCACGGAACTGAACAGTTTAGGAATGAAGCCATTTTAATTGCCAAACTTCAACACAAGAATCTTGTAGCACTTTTGGGAAGCTGTATTCAAGGAGAAGAAAGGCTGTTGATATATGAGTACATGCCCAATAACAGCTTGGATTATTTTATCTATGGTTTGTACCGCTTTACCCTTTAAGCATCTAGTTGGTCACATAGATTTTGTTCACTTAATGCTATTAAGATTTTTCCTTTGGCTGAAAGAACACTGTAACAGATGTGGTTGCAACATGAATGATGGGTGGAAATGATGTGCAGATCTGAAGAAAAGACAATTATTGACATGGGAAAGGCGCTTCAACATTATAAAGGGGATTGCAAGAGGACTTCTTTATCTCCATCAAGATTCTAAGCTTCAAATCATTCACAGGGATTTAAAAGCCAGCAACATTTTGCTAGACAATGACCTGAACCCAAAAATTTCAGACTTTGGATTGGCAAGAATCTTTATGAGTGATGATGAAGAAGCAAAAACAAATAGAGTCATGGGAACATTGTAAGTTCTATCAACTACAATTGCATGTTTTATATCAGTTAAAAAACTTACATGTGATACTGTCTTGCAGTGGCTATATGTGTCCAGAGTACGCAATGGAAGGGACTTTTTCTGTGAAATCAGATGTTTTTAGCTTCGGTGTGTTGCTGCTGGAGATAGTAAGTGGCCAAAAGAATAGAGGGTTCTCTCACCCTGCCCACCACCATAACCTTCTGGGACATGTAAGTGGAAACAATAATCTGATGTAATCTATTCCTAAGTGTCGCTCATAGTCAATGGATTATGGAATATGTATTTCATTTGTGCAGGCATGGTTACTGTGGAACCAAACCAGGATCTTGGAACTTATGGATTCATGTTTGGAGGATTCATTTGTCAAATGTCAAGTACTAAGATGTTTTCAGGTAGGTTTATTATGTGTTCAAAAATCCCCGGAGGACAGACCAGATATGTCATCTGTAGTTTTCATGCTGGCAAACAAGGGAGCAACTTTACCTCAACCAAGACAGCCTGGTTTCTTCAGTGAAAGAAGCACTGACGATACAGAACCAGTATCAAAGAAGAGTGAACCACACACTGAAAATGCAGTAACCATAACTATGATGGAAGGTAGATAGATAAATAAAGCAATGTCAATTAAGGGAAAAGTAACTTGAGGATGACTGTATATAAAAGATGATTACTGTTTTAATCCATGCAAAGCTTACTTATTCCTGCATCTTAACCGTATTTGCTAATGCACTGCAACATCTCAATTAACTACAAGAATCCTAGCTATGTGCAATCAATTTGTTCTGCTGTAAAATAAATAAACAAACAAAAAAATTAGTAAACTCGAATGAAATTGAAATTTCATATTGTCCTGACAACTTAAAAACTGACAATTATCATGCTGTGTTTTATGTTCCTTGTGGCATTTAATCAAACACTTGGTTATGTGGTCGGCCAAATTCATTCAGGCGAACTCCAATGTCTCACTCCAATAAATTGAAGAAAAACAAGTATTAACCAAACAATATGATGCTAAACAAACAGAAGCACAAAATGAAGCGCACAAAACACAAGAAACTTTACATGATCTAAAAAAATTACTCTCCTCAGAGACGGTCAATTTCTTTACATGCGACAAAAACAAATGCATCGAAGGATTCTTACCTCAATCGTCTAGCCTTCTTATCTTTTAGAGCTTAGTGTCACGCACTTAACTTCTTTGCTAAGTTCGTGCGGCCTTAACTCGTCTGAAATGAGTTGAGCAACCTAACGCTCACACAAACTCACAGGCTAAAAGCTTATAAACGAGAGAGAAGTATAGAGAAAATATAAACTCTGTATATTGATCGGATTCAAGTTATGAACTTTACATGGTGGAGTTGGCTATGTANATTGAAGAAAAACAAGTATTAAACAAACAATATGATGCTAAACAAACAGAAGTACAAAATCAAGCGCACAAAATGCAAGAAACTTTAAATGATCTATAAAAATTACTGTCCACAGAGACTGTCAATTTCTTTACATGCTACAAAAACAAATGCATAAAAGGATTCTTACCTCAGTAAACAAATGCATGGGGTATTCTTACCTCAGTAAATATACATATAGAATAATTTCCATAAAATTTTCAAGTAAAAACAAGTTGAAATACCCCTTCAAAAAAATCATCTCTTATCTTCCCTTTTTATCTTGATTTTAATTCTGTGTCTTATATAGATCTTCCCATCACATTTTCTTCCAAGCCTCATGCATTCCTTTCCTTTGTTGGATATTACAGTTAGTTTGTAAACATACCTAATAAGTTCCAAATTAATTAGCTGATCCCCCAGCCGTTGGAACAAGAGTTTGTTATAATTGATGCAAAGTTTCAACTCGTCCTCCTGATATAGAGTCTAGGGAAACAAAAATTCCACAAAGTGCCCACAAATCAAAGTCAACCAGAATCAACAAACAGCCAAGTCATGAAACAGAAAAGGATTCCTAAGATGCCATTTGGATACCATACTAGTCAGAGATGTAGTATATTTGCTCCTGAAGCATGGGAAGTTTTAAGAGTTAAAAGTTGTAGGAAGTTATGGCTAAAGTGAAGAACTCATGTATATTAGTGCAAAGAATGAAACGTAACATTACACTACCTGATAATTCTCTTAGTTTATGTTGAAGTGTAAAATAGGAAATAAGATTATTCTCATTAAAGACTATCTTCTATAATAGGTTAGAATCAAAGCTATTAACAATTTATTTCCTAGATTAGTCTTTTGTTTTTGCCATAAATTCATTGTACGTTTCATTGTGAATATATAAGTAAATACAAAGTTTTTCTTCACATGGTATCAAAGCTTGGTTTCTGAAATTCCAAATTTTTTTTTCTTCTCTTATTCTTAGAATTTTTTTTTTTCGATGACTATTCTCTAGGAACGATCAGGATCTGGTCTAATCACACCAGACTGATTGTCTTCTCCTCGTCGTCATAACCCAAGTGGTTTCGTTGTCGGCTGCCGTTGCATGCGCCCTCACGCGTCGATCATTTTTCCGGCAGCCTCTCCTCCGATCTGTTTTTCGCGCGAGCGTGAGCTCTCACCGCCACCGGCATCTTGTTCCTCTCCACCTCGCCGGCAAAACCCTTCAAGGTATTTCCATCAGCTTCTGCTTTGATCTGTTTTTCCGACAAGCGTTCTGTTTTTCCGACGAGCGTAAGCTTCTGCTTTTTTGTCAGCTTTAAGACACTTGACCTTCTTCATGGATTCCTCTTCATCAGCCTCTCATTCACATCCAAGTGGTTTTTCTTTTTTGTCTCTCCCTCCCTGTTAGAGTAGATGCCCTAGAGCCAATCAATTATTGTAGAATTGACTCTTTGTAATAATGTTCATTAATCAATAATAAAAGGCATTTTATTCTATATCGCGTAAATCATTATTATNGATGTCTAGAAGGGGATGGGTACTAAACAAGGTGGTTTCCAATCTGGCAGTCAAAATATATCCAAATCCATGCATCCACAAATCCACTCAAAATATGCATCACCTACTTTTATTTTTGTCAACCCCATGTACTTCGAACTCTTTTAGAACTTAAATCAACCCCCTAAACTTTTAGAACTTAAATCAACCCCCTAAAACCCTTAGGACATTATAGTTTCTCCCCTTAAGAATAAAGGAGTCTAATTCAAGAAGGGGAACTTTCCCTAAGGCCCAAACCAAAAGAATTAAAGGGGTTTACAAAAGAACTGGGCCATATTAATTATTAATAATAGGCTAGCCCACTGAATAGTAAAATCCAACACCCAACATAAGAACTGGGCCTTATTAATAAGTTAATAGACCAGTCCACCATATATGATAAATCCAATACCCAACAAAATACTAGGGCGTTATTAATAAGTTAATAGGCCAGCCCACCATATATAATAAATCCAATGCCCAAACAACATATCTCCCCAAAATTTCTAGCAAATTGACTCACAATAAAATTAGCTCATAATCCAATTTTATAAATTTTTTCTTATAATTCTGATTTGACAGCTCACAATTGGACATGTAAAACCTATTGTTGGCAAGGTAGGACTTATTGCAAACTGACCAACTGCGAACTGTCACGTTACGATTGTGAGAAAAAATTTGTGTAATTGGATTGTAAGTGTAATATTATCCGATGGTCGACTACATGTAACAACAACTCCATATATATATATATATATAATACCACATGCATGCCATTCGTACTTCATGACTTAGCCAAGAATTTATTTGGTTTCCTATTTCCAATATATAATCAATTCTTCCATAGGTTAAATTTATCATAAAAACCAATATGGTACAGTAACCAATACCATAGTCTATGAATTAACCCATTCAAGCATGAATCTGAAAACATGAATTGTTTATGCAAATACTAGTCCACTCACAACTTTCTCCTTTGCTTTCAACTCAANAGGAAATCGGTTCGTAGTGGACCATGGAATGGTCTCCAGTTTGGTGGCATTCCCATGATGCACAACAAGGTCTTCAAACCAATGTTGGTACACAAAGAAGAAGAGTTGTATTACGCATATGAGCCTTTTGACAATACAGTAATCACAAGATTAATGGTGGACCCAACAGGTCATATGCAGCGTCTTGAATGGAATGAAAAGTTTAGGGAATGGCGTATTGTGTACTCTTGGCCATATGACATGTGTGATAATTATGCACAGTGTGGTGCTAATGCTTACTGCAGAATTAGCAAGACACCTAATTGTATATGTTTGAAGGGGTTTGAAACCCAATCAGAAGATGAATGGGACACACCAAACACCATGAAATGTGTAAAGAAATCACCAACAGAATCAGATTGCAGAAATGGAGAAGGGTTTCAAAAGCTTGCACGAATGAAATTGCCCGATATTATGTGGTCAAACCAAAGTATGAATATTAAGGAATGTTCTGCAGAGTGCTTGAAGAACTGCTCGTGTAGGGCTTATGCAGACTTAAATGAGGGTGGAGGAAGTAGTGGCTGCTTGATGTGGTTTACTGACCTGATTGATATGAAAGAATGCTCAGAACGATTCACTTGGGGACAGGATATCTTTATACGAGTACCCGCTTCAGAACTAGGTAAGGGTGTTATTTTATTTACAGTTGAACAAGGCAATGCAAAAGAACTGCTGCATTCCTAATGGCGCGGCTTTGGTCCACCTACGTTAGGAAAAACAATCTGTTCTCTTTGTACATTTTATTAATCTGAAAAAGAATAAGTTTCAACAAATCTATTAAGTTTTTCATGTTGTCTACTCTAAAATCAGTTAATGATTCGAGTAAGAAGAAAAGAATAAAAATCATTGCATCGGTCTCGACTGCTTCTGGCATCCTTATATTGGGACTTGTGTTCTGGAAAGTTTGGAAGAAAAGAAAGAACAAAGGTAATACATTCATCTCATCTTGCTTATTTTTTGTTGGATTTCATGAAGTTCATTTGGCAATATCTTAAATTTAGTTTAAAATATAATGAAACTCAATCAGTTTCCAAAATATATTAAAACAAATCATACACCTCTGAAATTTATTAGTAACCGTTCAGAGGGGAAAACTAGAACCAGATTAATTTGTATGCTAATGAAATCTCAGTGGAGGTCACTAACATTCACTCTATTTAAAATGAACAGGTGACGAAGAGGTTCAAACTTTAATCGCCCTGCAGAGCAAGACGGAAGACACGGAAGTACCTTTATTTCCTTTAGCAACGGTAGCTACTGCAACTAACAATTTCTCTAAAGCCAACATGATTGGTGAGGGTGGATTGTGCTGTTACAAAGGTATTAAAACGCTATGTTATGAAACACTCACCAGAAGTCGCTACACCTCTAGAAATGGTAAACTTTCTTATCGTTTGACAATACAGGGAAATCTCAGATGGACAGGAAATTGCAGTGAAGAGGCTTTCGAACAGTCAGGACAGGGTCTTGAAAATCAAGAACGAGGTCGCTATATTGGCAGCTTAAACAGGAATCTTGTGCTCTTATGGGAGGCTGCCTGAAGAGATGAAAGGATACTGATCTATGGAGTATGCCCAAAAAAGCTTGGATTATTTATTTTCGGTAGCATTTCTGAACCCTATATCCATCAATTTACACATTATTAGTACTCAAGTTTGATTCTTACATTCAAAATAGAAAATCTAGGACAAGTTTAATTTCAATTACTGAAGTTGGCAATGATGTGCAGATCGTGAAAGAAGGAAACTCTTGTCCTGGAAAAGGCTTTGAATTATATTGGGATTGCAAAGGACTTCTCTACCTCCACCAAGATTCTAAACTGCAAATAGTTCACAGGGCTTGAAGCCAGTAATATCTTGTAGACAGT